TTTTTAAAAACGGTGTACCGAACTATAAGTTTTTGTCATGGTAGTGTATTGCGCTACATATTATACTTGTTATGCCTTTATTGATCATTTATCCCTGTATGTAATGTTCTGCTCGCTTATTATTATGTAATCATACGCATACAGTGATGATAATAAACTACTACTACTACTACTATCCTTTGATGATGGAGGGTCGTTTGATGGCTGTTTTTACTAGTACTTGAACCTTCAATCTGTTTACTATGCATTTTTATCTGGCAATCTGACATACAGCATGATATAACACTAGGTGCATATAATAGGGCAATTTTAATAATTTTTTCAAGAATGCAATAGTCTGAGAATTTTTACATAAAGAAAGACTAGCCTTTCGAGAGCTTTTGATTCAGGTGACCGAGGTGAAAGCGATAGAATACAATAAATGTAAATGCTTTCTGTCCTAAACTTGATGTAACGAAATTGCTATTTATTGGCATTAATCCACTGTTACTGAACCTTGGTGTGTGTCTGTGTACGTGCGCGTTGGTGTGTGAGATAGAGAGAGAGATAGAGAGAGAGTGAGAGAGAGATCGATCACTTAAAAACCGAAGACTAATACATTTCTTTGTTTGGTATGGTATTCAGCATTTCGCTTATGGGCGCAGCCATGTTTGCTACCAGAAACATTCCTTAATTATTCTGTTTCTACCTCATATCCTCGTATGAAAAGCACCCCATAGTATACATTTAGCATTTACTTTGTACTTACTTCTTCAGCTCGGGAGGATGCGCTTTACTCATGGTGATATTCTACGATTGTCTCGATATAACCGGTTTCTGCTCAAATATGGCGGCTATTTCGTATCCGTGACGCTGCCCGAAGATACTCCTCGACACTTGCCGAACTTGTGGTTTATATATTTTCTGAGCCACATGAAAGATGATGAATAGATAGCATTGTTAAAAATATAAAACTGTTGAAACTTTCTTTGGAATTTATCATTTTTTATTGAAAACATTATCTATATTAGACTCTCAACACATAAAATGCTGACGTTGTACACACGGAGATGAAGAACGGCGCCAAATGTAATCTGTGAGCAAGTACAATTAACTCACTTTATACAGTTGTTAGTGTATGTCACTGTATATCTTCCTGCATGTGTAAAGGGAAAACATTCAGGTAATTATATATTTTGATTTAATGACTAACAATGACATAATTACAATTCGGTAACAAAGTGATGAATTGTTATGGTGTTCTCATGATAAGAACGATAATACAGTACAAATGTACCAGTAGTTTTCATTATTAACTTTTACACATATCCTGAGAACAAACGTTTTTTGTTCCTCTCTTCAAAGGCTTTAAACTTTTTAAAAATTAAAAAGTTAGGTGTGGTCAGTTGTGACATTGTTATGAATTTTCTAAACTAATAACCTGAAATATGGCAAAAATGAGGAAGTGCAGATTCACACTGTTAACACATATTAAACTGGCCGAGATCCTGGCAGATATTCATAGCAGCACACGTAAAACTTATTTTGGTTGACTCCTGAAGGCACTGTTGTTGTAATGGTAATATTTAACAATTGAATCCCATTTTTGATTTTTACTGTGCAAATTTTACATTGAAGAGTGATAGATCTGTATTTCGTATGCACAGATGGAAAAATGTTCTGATCCATGCCCTGCCTGTAAAGCTAAGCAGTGCCCAAGTTAGTTCAAATAAAGGCTTGTTTAGATTGTACAGTAGATGTTCCATATTCATTTGGTTCTCTGTGGCCCATCATTCTGAGGTTTTTCTTTATGCTGTTGAGAGAACCTTGGAAGGTGCTCTGTTAGATATATGCATATGCACCAAGTACATGAGCCTCAGTGTACAGAAGATGGATTTGATGTGACATTTCCATAATAAAAAATCTTGAAAACATATTGTATAAATTATCGGGCTTGATTAATATTATTTTTATTCTTGCATGTTTATTTACAGACAAATAACAAAATATAATATTTTGAAAAGTAAAGATATCTTGGCTTTGCTTTCTAGATCTGTTTGAAGCCATCAGTTATGTCGCTGGCAGAGTTACAGCCAGTGGAAACATCTTGTGTTGAATCTACACAGGTAATAGAAGTCTTTCTTTGAAAAGTTAATCAGAAAGAGAGATGCATAAGCAACAAAATTGTATGTACAGTGTTGCTGTGCCATTGTGCCATTCATGCATCGAAAACAGTGTTGATGAAAGTTTCTGTCCTCCATATTTCTAAACAGGGGCCCCACTGTTTCCCAGTTTTCAGATCCCAGATGCGGCACTGTATATATTTGTTACAAGTACTTTTATTTTCAAGTAAAATTCATAGAGGCATGAGTTGTGATCATTTTAACAATGTAGACAGTATGGTTTAGATTTAGACTGCATTCACAACAGAAGTTGATACTCGGACTAACATATCTGCAGATCAAATATGGCCAACCCACTAGAAAGTTTACCCCTGACTGCTTTCCGCGGGGAATCTTTTCAGTGCCTTTTAGGGGATTAATAGCCTTGGAGTAGGTCAAGCTTTCAGGTGGGTCAGCCATATTTGATCTGCAGTTATATTAGTCAGCTAATCAGCTTGTTCTAAATGCGCCCATAGTGAGACATCACAGCCCCGTAGCCAGCAATTTCAAAAGGGGGGTTCTTTTTCTGAAAAAGTGGACCTTTTCCCATAAAAACTTCATGTACCTAGATCNGAGAGATGCATAAGCAACAAAATTGTATGTACAGTGTTGCTGTGCCATTGTGCCATTCATGCATCGAAAACAGTGTTGATGAAAGTTTCTGTCCTCCATATTTCTAAACAGGGGCCCCACTGTTTCCCAGTTTTCAGATCCCAGATGCGGCACTGTATATATTTGTTACAAGTACTTTTATTTTCAAGTAAAATTCATAGAGGCATGAGTTGTGATCATTTTAACAATGTAGACAGTATGGTTTAGATTTAGACTGCATTCACAACAGAAGTTGATACTCGGACTAACATATCTGCAGATCAAATATGGCCAACCCACTAGAAAGTTTACCCCTGACTGCTTTCCGCGGGGAATCTTTTCAGTGCCTTTTAGGGGATTAATAGCCTTGGAGTAGGTCAAGCTTTCAGGTGGGTCAGCCATATTTGATCTGCAGTTATATTAGTCAGCTAATCAGCTTGTTCTAAATGCGCCCATAGTGAGACATCACAGCCCCGTAGCCAGCAATTTCAAAAGGGGGGTTCTTTTTCTGAAAAAGTGGACCTTTTCCCATAAAAACTTCATGTACCTAGATCAAATTTTACCCAGAGTGGACCTTTTTCCAGCAAAAGGGGTGGTTCTTTCGAACCCCCCGAACCCCCCCTGGCTACGGGCCTGCATCATCACATAAAACTAAATTTACTGCACTGAAATGAACTGTCTTCCTGTGTATTTCAGGGGGAATCCACTCTCTGCCAGGTGATAAGTTCAGGTGGGGAAGGTGACCAGGTAGTCGTATCCCAGTTCTCTGCTAACCCAGATGGGAGTAATGTCTTGTACTTGAATGTACCAACCTCAGGTGACCTGTCATCGCCTGCAGTGCAGCATGTGTTTGATCCCACTAGTCTTGGCAATGTGTCCGCCAGGTCGTTATTATACAATACAGAGACAGTCTCTAAAGACACAGACGGCCATGTAACTGTGGAAAAGCAGTTGGATGAGATAAATACAGTACGTTTGGAGAAAGAAAACCTTCCTGAGGCCAAAGGTCTTCATGCTCCCTCTGGACCAGGGGTGACAGTGGCACAAAATGGACAGGTGGCATACCTGGTGATGAACAATGAAGGCGGCACAGGTTCCCTGCAGTTACCTGGAGGTAAAGCTAATAATTGGACAAATCTCTTGATTTTTTTCTCACTGGTTGCATCAGCCTGTCACTGATCTCAACTGTGGGTTAGGGCTACAAATTGTTAAAATGTAAAATGTCTTTTTTAGTTTGACTGCTGTGTTAGGGGTTCTTTTTCAAATCGAAGTTGTTTAATACCTCTATACTTTTATTATAAAAGAAAACGGTGACACCATTTTATCTATCTTAAACTTTTGAAAAATTATCTTTGATATGATATGGTTTCAGTGTACTTCAAGAAGTGATGTAACCAATACACTACTGTAACAAATTATCATGGATATCTTATTTTAATTCCTACCTCTCAAGCTAATCATGAACATTGCAGGTTTACAAATCATGAACTTAGCGCCTGGTCAGTTCACTGGTCTTGGACAAACACCTGGCGTGACCGCCCCAATGCCTTTGGTACGTTTTTAAAATCTGTGATTGTAATTTAAGATGGTACGTTTTAAACTTTTAAGTTTTATATTATGCACAGTGCTAAGATGAATTTGAAGTCAGTTTTATAGAAATTGCAACAATTAGGTTGAAACTCCAAAAGTGTGGGTATTTGTGAATACATATGTAATAAGGGGAACACTCTCTCTCTCTCTCTCTCATATTTCAGTCCAATCTTATTGTTTATTTTATAATACGGTTATGGTTATGTCATGGAAGTAAAGAATATATTATATTTTTGTTTGTTTCAGGAGTCTGCAGATGGGGAAGAACCACTGTATGTGAATGCAAAACAGTACCACAGGATTCTTAAGAGGAGAGAGGCACGGGCTAAACTTGAAGCTCTTGGTAAAATACCTAAAGAAAGACCTGTAAGCTGAATTTGTTACTTTCTTATATCTGTTATATTTTATAAATATTATTATAATTATCTGTAGAATAAGAAATTGTGAAGTTTTCATGTAGATTAAACCATAGTGTTATACTTTGTTGGCATTTTGTGGATTTTGAAGCGTTATGGAAAACATAAGACAAATGTGGTCTCATAATATGGATGTATGGCATACAGCTTTTTAGTTATAGTAGACATTTAAAAAGCATATTTACTTTTCATGTACAGTCACTGTACCCCTGGTATATATATGTGAAATTTAACATTTTATTTTTTACAAGTACTTGATGTTTATTTTAAGTATGAGTAAGCACTTTATCTAAATAAAAGAATTGATATACAATTTATAGATATTAATTTAATTAATTAAATTGATGGAAAAGTTATTTTTGAAAAAGATGAGTTTATGACTTTATCGGAAAGGCTTGCACTAAGTTAGCTGATAAAGATAGTATAAAGATAATTTCATAATAAAATCTTGAAAAGTTGATTTAATTTTTTTTTTCTCAGAAATACCTGTATGAGTCCAGACATAAGCATGCCTTGAACAGGAAAAGAGGAGCTGGAGGAATATTCACCAAAAAGAAACCAGGGCAAGATAAGCAAGACGCAAGGATTAAGGAAGAGAAAAGTACTGGATCTCACAGTTCAGACCTGCAAACTTCAAGTGCAAGTTCATATTTACGGAATTTGATAACAAATAGCATCAACTAGGAGGGCAATAAGGTGCTTTAACAATGTTGTCAGCTGTATAAAGAAATATGTACACTTGCAAGGATCAGCCCAGTGGTTTATTTCATGTTAATTCATCAAGACTCCTGAAAATAATATACCTGCAATTACTGTGTGAACTCTCTATCAGGTAACTTATAGGCTTTATTTGTTGTTCACTATTGCATACAGTTTAATTATTTCAGAAAAGTTACAAGATTATTTATTCACTTTAGCCTAAGTGAATTGTCTTCAGTATTTTGGGAAAATTGTATATGCATGGGTCCAGGTATTGCATTTTTACGCATTTGTATAATAAAGCTGCCATGGCATCGACTCTTTTTGGGAATTTTTACAGTGTGTATGTATACTGTATATTTGGAGTGAAATTAAAATAACTTGACAGGCATGGCAACTTGAAATCTGTCTGTGTCCCAGCTCTGGCATTTTTTTGCTGGGTTTCTTTTGTCTGGTCTTCTTCCAAAACATTCCAAATGTGTTATAAATAAATTTCAGTTGCAGTTGGTTATTTACTGATTTATTACAAAGATTTCACAGAAATCATGTATGAATAAAACTTTTTATACAAGATGAAATTAAACCACCACCCGTTTTGTAACACAGCAAGATGTTGTAAATAATGTAGTTCATTTGGAGTTGAAATGAAAATGGAACTGTCCAATCCTTTACCCAGTCCATCAGTCTTCCCCTTGAAAAAGCTTCCACATGAATGCCATGGATGCTGAATTATAACTTGCATTTGTGTCTGCTTTTCCCACTAGCATTTTTCTCAGCTCATGGACAGATATATGAACCTGGATATGGTTTAAATGAGTTGAAACTTGAACCTATCTAATTGTGAGGTATTGATGGGATTACCAGTTAGTAGAAGTGCAGGTAATCTGAGGTAAATATCTGTTATAATAAAATTTTACACATAATAAAAATAATTGTAAATAAAAGTATGTGCACAGTTTACTACCATAAGCAATATGGAAAAAAGGGGATTTTTAAGAGTATGCTTTCTCAGTTTACTTTTTCTGCCTTTACTGCTTTTTGTTCTTTCCTATTTTGTTAAGGTGTTTGCACTTTGTATGTAATGACAACTTCTGGTAATATTGTACTTTGTACTATATAAGGTAATACACTATGGTGAACAGCTATAGTGCTATTCAGTACACGTAACATAAAGTTGACAGTATACTGGACTGTAATGTGAAAAATATTAATCATGTTATTGTAACTACACCATTGTTTCAATAAAAAAAATGAAAAAGAGCGTAATCACTCCTAATTGCCTGCACAGTTGTTGTATCTTAAGACGAACTGTTAGCAGTGGCTCCAGTTTTTGTGTTTAGAATCCTAAAATTTCAGGCACTCAGAAATCTGAGGATATAAGGATTATCAGGTTTATTGAACTTGAAAGGTATCTCATTGTATCTCTGAAGATTGTATGTCTAACATAAGGTTTCATTAGCTCATGTATAATGAATAAAAGCTCTTGGATAATAAAGGCCTTGTCCACAACCAGTTGATCTGCAGATTAACTATATTTCAAATATTTCTTCGATAAACTTGGGTGCGCAGGAAGTCATGCCATTGTGTGTATGGTGTGTTACAGTTAAAGTTGGAAAGATCTCTGCTTTTTACAGATATATTCCCTGTAAATATAATACTTGTCACCTACAAATTGGTCTCTCAGCCTGGAGGTCACTAGAGTTGCTCCTGTCCGTTCGAGATATTAT